AGAGCTGAACACCTTCGGGCCTTCACTTACTGGCAGAGTGGGTGCCCCTGGGCACTTATTGGTGGAGTTAAAGAGTTTTGTGACACTTGCCCTAGCAGGGCAGAGGCTGGGCTGAGGGGCTGAGGGCATGGCGGAGAAGAAGCTGTCCTGATCCAAGAACTGTATCCTGAGTTGTTTTTGATCCTGAATTGTAACCTGTTACTTCCCTGATAAACCCCATAATTGTGAGTGTTGTCTGAGTTCTGTGGGGCCATTGCAATGAATTATTGAGCCCAGCAGAGAAGTAGAGAGTACAGTGGGAGGATCGGTTATTGTCAGAATTGGTAAAAAGGTTAGAGAGAGGAGGTATGTCTGACCTCAGCTTCATAGGAATCTGCCTCAGGCTGCTGATGGTGATTCTTTCTCCTCCTCCTGAAGTTAGAGGAGGTCAGACACTGCCCCCACGCCATTTTTACACACAAGGAAGCAAATCAGTGTAAGTCAGAATGTTAGGTAGATTCTAGACACAGCTACCAGGTACAGAAATTACATAGAACAGTGAGCGATATTAACCTGTGATCTGAGAGTGGTAGGTAGGGGTGTCAGATGAGAAAATTATGTTTGTGTGAGCAAAGAGCCAGATTATATATTTTTAAAAAAAAGAAGAGGAAATAGAAGCAGAGACTAGCAATAATAGTCCCGAGAGTATTGGACAATAGGGGAAGTATAATCTATATGGGGTTAAGATTTTCCACCTTCCCTACAGAGTTCGCCGTCACCCATCCTAGTAATGATAGATTTGGCCTATGAGTAAATAAGAAAAAATTTCTCACCCTAGACAATGATTAGCAGTATGACCTTATTTACTCTGAGTCTGTTTCTCTTTTAGAAAAATGGCAATAAGCATTTTTTTTTTTTTTAATCTTTTTTAGCCAATGCATGTCTATAGCCCAACATAGATCTCTTTCATAGGCAGTAGATATTTTGGGGCAACATTTGAGAGAAGCTTTGGGTTTTAGAAGTGAAGGTGTTTTGGGGGAAAGGTTATAAAATCAGTCACGGCAGGGAAGTATGTTTGTTGTTAGTCCTGAACAAATATAAAAAAGGCAGGGGGATGAGGTCTAATGGTGAGATAGAGGTCTAAGAGTTACGGTGGCTGTCTTCATTGATTCATTCAACACACATTTTGTAAGTGCCTGCCTATTATGTGCTAGGCTCTAAACACTGAGGTACAGGGGCCAACGCAACAGATGTGGTCCCTGCCTTCCCGGAGCTTACAGTCTAGTAAGGCAGGTAGCCACTAAGCCAGTGAACATAGAAGCAAGTACACAGTTACAAATTGTGATCCTCTTATAAAAATAAAAGGGTGCTGTGAGCGAGAGTAACAAGGAGTCTAATTCAGTTTGGCGAGTAGTCAAGGAAGATCTTGCTGAGGAAGTGACTTTTGAGCTGAGACCTTAAGGATGAGTCAGATTTTTCTGGTGAAGGAGGTGGGGGGAAGGGGAGAATAAGCTTTCTAGACAGAGACCTGAAACCTATGCTTTAAAAGCCAAAAAAAAAAAAAGCAAAAACAAAAGTACAACTCATAACACCTCTCCCCTCTGAGGTTCCCTCTGTGTAATTTATTTTCCACTTTCAGATTGTGGCCCCTACTGTTCATGTTCGTTTAATCAAAATGTAATCTTGTCTGTCACCCACACTCCCCCAACTCTACCCCAGCCTTGCCTCCCAGGCCCTGCAGCCAAACATTGAAAAATGCAAGGAGGCTCTATCAGTGCATGTAGAGCTACCTTATTTATTTTTGGTAAAATGACGATCATGATTTCACCTATCTCTAACTGTTACTGTGAGATTAAATGAATTAAAGTTATTTAGAACAACGTCTAGCGCGTGGTAAAGACACATTCAATGTCAGCTTATTATTTCAGTGAATGCACGTGCTCTAATTTACTGAGGTTTCCTGTTGATGGGGCATTGTGTTGTTTCTATTACAAACTATGCTGCATCTCTAAGATTCGATTGAACTGGATGATAGTACCATACTTGATTTCACTGGCTCCAGACTGCAGTTAAGGGTAAGCCAGGTGGCTTCCTTTGTTCTCTAGTTCTGCCAAGATTTGTCTCTCAGAGTGGATCCAGCCAGCCAGTTTTGCCTTGCACTTGGTTTTGTTACCCACGTCTGTGCTCAGAAACTTCCAAGCATTGTCCTGTTAGGGCTGTGATAGGCAACAGTTCCGGAAAATTGTTCCCTTACACACCCACACGCCCACACACAGCTGTGCCTCTAAAAACACTGTTGAGTTCTCTCTCCTGGCCCACTCATTAAACCTCTCCCTTTATTCTCCTTACTGATCCTTGGACTAAGAGAATGCCTGGGTTCAAGTTTTAGCTCAATATTATTTAGTTAGCTGTGTGACTTTGGATAAGTCACTGACGCCTGGTATCCTGAGGATCATTGGGCAAAACAAACATAAACGTGTAAATTATGCTTTGAGACACTCCCCTTCCTCTCCTGTCTCCAGTCAGTGGTTTGTACTACTCAGGTTCTGCCATTTCTTACTCCAGCTTAGCTGTCGAGCCATTTGTCTGCTATTTAAGGGGAAAAACTGCATTTGCTTAAGTTACAATTTAAAAAAACTTTTTTTTGAAAAGATTATTCATCTGCATGCAAAATTTAAAAATACACACACACAAAACTATTCTATGCTATCAGAAACCAAGATGGTGGTTACCTTTGAGGAGGGCAGTGACGAGGAAGAGGGGTGAGGAGGACTTTCGCAAATTGATAATGTTCTATTTCTTGATCTGGGTGCTAGTTACAGGGGTGTTCAGTTCATGAAAATTCATCAAGATGTATATTTATTATATTTGCACTTTTCTGTAGGTATATTATGCTTTAATAAAAAGTAAAAAACAAACTTAAAAGGTACAAAAGACTATATGGGGGTGAGTCTCCTTCTCACTTCTGTTCCCCAGACATCCAGTTCCCCCTTGGGAGGCAACCACTATTACCCTTCTGGTGTATCCTTCCAAAGCTTTTCTATGTATAAATAAGTTTATGAATATTCATTTTTTTCTTTATACAGATGACAGCATATTATGTACACTGTTCCAAGTCTTGCTTTTTTTCACTTCGTGATATAGGTCAGGGATCATTCCATACCCTAACACATATATGGAAGAGACCACGGTCTACTTGTTCATTGTTGCAACCCCAGTGCATAACCCAATGCCTAGCATATAAATATACTTATTAAATGAACTGTCTTCTAAAGGAGTGTCTGTTTGCAATACTGAAACTGTATAACTCCTGCATGAGGTGATGAACTCAACCAGTCAGCTTTATGGATACAAAGGATAAAATACCAGATCCAAGCACCAGGGGTTTGTTTTCTAACTGGTTTGCAGCTCACCCAGGGCAGCCTGAAGTTCCTACTGCATGGCTGCAGAAATGAGGGGAAGTCAGGGGTTGATTTAAAGTACTGTGCTAGAATGAGCATCAGAACCAAGAGCACCCTCCTCTGTTGTCTGAAGACCCTTGCCCTTTGGGTCTCCCTCACTGGGCTCCAGAGACCCAAGATCTGAGATGGCAGTGCTGGGTGGCTTCGGCCCTTGGGACTAGCTGTGGCACTCGCTTGTTCATTGGACCCCTTTTAGAATATTTACCTTTGGCCTGGAATGATGCAAAAATATCCCAGACTCAGCCCTGTCCTCCCTGTGTCTGCACAACTGACCGCCAAGACTGTACCCTGTATCTTGAACCCTGTAAAACCCCCAAGCTCTTTGCTGTGCTTCCCTGAGTGAAAATCAAAGACTTTCAAAGGCTTCGTAATTCCTGAATGAGGCTCAAAATCGGATGTTGTTTTTGTGAGGGACTAAAACTAGCTAGACTGCTGATGGATTACAGGATGCAGCTGGCAAGAAGAGCGAGCGAGATGGAGCCGCGATTAGCTGCGTCTCCTTTCCACCTGAACATCCTGGACCTCACAGGCAACCTTTCCAGGCGTTTTCAGCCTGCAAGTGGCATGGAAATAGACGAGGATTGTGTCGCCTCACATATAGATGGTTGCCGCAAACCAACCCTAGCCGATGTGCCCATCAGACAATTTCCAAACTCGAATAGGTTCTCTCTTCCTCCTCTATGGAGCTTAGCTTAACCTCTTATAGAAAACCACACTCCTTTCTTCCCTTTTCTCCCTCCTGCTGACCAG